CTCCTCATTCTAAAGGAAACTGGGGCCCAGACAAGGGAAGTGACTTGTTCAAGGTCACAGGGCCAGACAGTGGCAGAGCTGGGACTTGTCCCCAGGTCCCCTGACCTCTAGCCAGTGCTCCTGTCCCTGCCCTACGATGCCTGAGTATTTATCTCTCAGGCTCATTCTTGCAGCCGACTCCAAGCACAGTGACCACCAGCTCTGCCATCCTGGTAACACAGAGAACATTCGTCACGCCCCCTCCACTTAAACAAACTTCCACTGGGCCCTTCACCCCTCCGGACTGGGCAGGGCCTTCCTCTGCCCTGCTTCACGCAGCCACCCCTTTCCTACCGCGGCGAATGTTTTCCTGTTAATTTTTATGATCGTTGCTGAGAACAAATGCAAAAGAAAGGCAGACACACTTCAGATTTTGCTCACTGCATGTTTTCATTTTTAATTAAATAAGTCAAGTAAGCCATCAAGTGATGGGTTCACATTCTGTTCCGCAAAGCAGACCCTGATCGGTGGTGGCTGCCAGCTCTCTGAAGAGCAGCCCCTGCGTTTCCAGGAGACGGCAGATTGCTGCCACAGCAAGGATGTCTGGGACATTGATGGCAAGGGGGCTGGGAGCAACGTGGCCGAGCAGAAGGAGCTGCATGCTACCCACACACACACGCGGACACTTCTGTCTACACCATGGCCACACATGGCCACGCAGGGACTGTCCTGTACCATGTGGCCATGCAACATGACACAGGGCTGAGGTCTCAGCAAAATGACGGAGTTGGCAGGATCCAGGAGGGAGCAGGGGAGCCAGGCAAACTAGGCCTGGAATATACTGATGAGATGGTCATTGCAGGGGCGCCCAGTTCAAGCCGAATGTCTGAGGAAGCAGGGTAGCTGGGTCATTTTATTTCCCAAATAAAATACCTGCTCTACAATATGAGCCAGGCCCATGAGGATGGCACTGCTCTGCGTCCTTGAAAACACTAACTCGTCCCCTAGGCACAGTCATGGAATGACAAAGGACACAAGACCAAAGGATCTTGAAGCTCTTAAGACATCTGAAGTTGCCCATTCTGCTTGTCCTGTTGAGGTAAAGAGCAACTCCCATTATTCCCAAAACCAGGGGCAGTGGGGAGGCCATGTGGCTGCAATCAGGAAACCCTGGGCCTGGCCCCTCCCGTCTAGCTGGACTACGTCCTAGGAATTTTCACAAGCAAATCCATCAATGTGGATTTCAGCGGATGTGCCCTCTTTCCACTTGTACAGATGGACGAGACCCACTTGGCTTCACAGGCATCTGATCCCCACTTCCCCCCTCCCCCGAGCTCTCCTGGCCTCAGGATCTCCCTCTGAGACCTGCCTTTGCTTTCAGCCTTGGGGGATGGAAGTGGGAGGGGACTGCCTTGGGGACACAGCCAACCAGTCTTCTGCTCCTGTGCTTTATAATCCAGGGCTATCAAGGGACAGGCCCTGTGGTCAATTAAAACAGGCCCTAGCGTGGGAGACGGCACCAGGGATTGGAAGAGACCTTGAGGGTCAGGACCAGGCCATCTAATGCTTACATCTCCTGACTGCTGTCCAGGCCAAGTGGCCACCTTCCGGGACAGGGACCCCCTGACCTCCTGCTGGAACCCGTTCCATCGTCGGACAGACGGCAGAGGTGGTAGGAAAGGTGCCATTGTAATGGGTTGGGTGGGTGCCCTCTGCTCTGGGGGGTTCACACAGCAAGCTGCCTCATTACACCACCCTCTGGCAGTAGCTCCCAGGCTGAGGGTGCTGGAAGACAGGGAGTAAACACTTCATTCAACATTTCTTTTTCTGTTCACTTATTTATGTTCAAGTGTGTGTATCACATAAAGGGACACAAGGCTAGACTCTGCTCTCAACCTTAGTAGTCACTCAGTGATGACCTGCAGGGGGTGCTGCAGAGCCATCTGCTGCTGCTCTTTCCCTCTCCGTGGGGACTCAGGAATCCAGCCCCACTGGCTACTCCCAAGGACCCCCCATGCCCTCATCCACTCCAAGGTTTACAAAGAAGGCCCAGAGGAGGAGCCAGGAACGGGCAGCGGTGGCGACGGCCTGCGGGTGTTGGACACTGCCCTGTCTCACCAAGGCCTGGAATGTTCTGAACTATTTACATAGGCCAGACTAAAGAGGTCTTCATGAAGAAAGAGAAAATGAGTAAACGCTCATTGCTGAATGGGCCTCTTGTTCCGGGGAAGCTGGCGGCTGCTGGAGGTGAGGCCTTAACTGCTCCCCTGTCTCCAGACAGGTGAGTGCTGTGGAGGGGACGGCTCCTGGTGGAGCCAGCAGGAGCAGAGAAACAGGGCTGGCCTCGCTGGAGGAGGAGGCACTAGCCCCCAGCTGGACCACCTTCGTTGGCCCAGCTCCATTAGGAAAACCCCGCATGCATGACTCCAGCCAGGTCCTGCAGAGTGTAAAGTCAGTAGTCACCCCCACCCTGTCCTTCCCCAAACCCCACGGGTTCCCAGGGCATTGCTGAGCCCCAAGGCGACACTCACTTGAGTAGTGTCCTGTTCAGACCCCTGGGCAAAGGTAATACAGCAGAAAGGGCCTTCCTGTCACATCTTCGAATCAAAAGGAGGAAACCACGGTGTCTCCTTAAACAACAGCCCGGGGCCATCGCGACTCCTGCATCCTGGTTCAGTCCTCTTGTATTCTGAATCATCTCCCAGTGTCCTTGTGTCTACGGAGTGAGCGAATGGTTTCTATTATTATTGTCTTGTCCTTCTTGATTTGGGTACAGCTTTGAGTACCTGCAAATAATAAGGTATTTCTGTCTCGTCTTTTCCACAAAATAAATAAATTAAGTCAACTTGTAGTGTACAATCTGTCCATGTCCTGAGAAGTCCCGCAGGTCCATTCTCGGTGCCGTCCCCCGAGCTCAGGGCTCGGCCCTGCGGGGAGGCACAGGAAGGAAGCAGCCTGCTGTCCACACTAGGAGGCCCCGGAAGAGCCCTGGATGGAAGAGCCCAGGTGGGGAAGAGTGCAGGGAGGAGCTGGGGAAGAACGGCCAGCACTTCTGGGCCTGCCAGACACCCTGGCCCCACTCTACCCCAGGGTCAAGTTTAAGAGTTGGAGTCCCTTTGGACACCAAATTAGAGGCAGCTCCCTGCACAACTTATTCTTGGACTGGAAGACCTAGAGTGAAGACCTCCTTGAATGGCTGAAGTCCATGCTAAGGGAGACCCAGCAGCTCAGATATGCTGACTATAACGGATCCCACAAGATGGCTATGGTCCTCACCTTTTCAAACTGCGGCTTCCAGCCAGGACACATGCCTCCCTTCCCCAGGGCAACACCAGCTGGACTCAGATCCTGTGTTTCCCTGGCATCTATAATACTCAAACCAAAACTCAGCCCTCTGGGTTTGACAATGGGACGGATCTGACATAGAGGTTGTCCAGGAAATCAGAAACAGCCCTTAATAAACTGTTGCAGCTCCCTGCAAGTTCTGAGGAGGTACTGAGTTCTGCTCCCCAGTTTAGGGTGGAAATGGGAAAGACTTCCACTTTGGGGACATCTGCTGTTTGGTCATAGGCCCCCGACCCCCCAGGGGCCTGGGAGAGATTTTCAAATCTGGCCTCTTCTCGGGGAGGGGGTGAGGGCTGCTAATTTATGCTGCTTCTGGACACTCAGCAAAGAAGGCTGGTGGTTTCTGAGATTTGTTCCACATGGAGTTCAAACAGAAAAGCCCGTGGAATACTGTGGGCTGCCACATGGCCACCTAGGCTCTGATCCTTCTGGAGGAGGCTCCTCTTCCTCCTCCTCCTCTGGGAGGAGCCAGAGTGTTCCCCGCTGGTTCTCCCAGCCCCCCTTAGCACCCTAAGCCCGGACTGCTTCCAAGTGGCACTTCTCCAGAAACAAAACCAAAAACACAGCCACAAGACACCAAACCATAAATAACTTAAAAAAACCCAAATAAAATACCCAGCCTGAGTTGAGCAATACTCTTCCCAGAGCCCTAAAGGAGGAATTTCAGACACTAACCACATAACCATGGCAACCAACCATGCAGCTAACCTCTGTCCCCTGTCTTTTCAGGGGAGAGGGTATCCTGATGTGACTTCTCCCCCAAGAGCACTCTGTACTTTATTCTGGGCCCTGCCCCACAGGGGATTGGCTGGAAATGGCAGGACCCATGAGCTGCCTTTTGCCTCCGGGGACCATAGCTACTTCTGTCAGTTAGGCCTGAGGCAGCCGTCAAATATGGATATGCTCTCAGGAAGCCAGCCGAGCGGGGATGGGGCCTCTGGGCTGCAGTCATGTGAGGGTCAGCCACGCCATTTTAAAACATGCTGCCTGCCAGCAGCGAGGACGTGAGTGGGACAGAGGAGGTAGCTGCGAGAATCCAAGGCAGTTCTGTATCCACCGTTCAGCCCCAAACCCGGCCGGGGAAGGGGGTCATAGCCTGTAACTGTGTTTTCTCCTGCCCCCAAGTAATTCTAAAAATGTAATTAAAGGCTCCTCCTTAGGTGTGGGATACAAATAAACCCTGTAGGCATAAAGCAAAGGAGAAGCTTGTCTGTGTATAAATGTGTGTGTGTGTATTTGTGTTTTTATGATGTTTTCCTGTCTGTGTATGTGGTGTGTGTCTAGGTATTGGTCTTTACTTATGTCTGTGTGTTTTGTAGCTCTATACCGGGCTGATTTCATCAGCAACCAGCACAGCTATCCCATTTATGAAAATATTGACTCGTTCCTGGTTGCTAAGCCCCAAATGCCATGCTCTGACACCCCAGCTACCCCAGCCCCTCCTCAGGGACCCACCCAGATTCCACACGGGATTGTGTAGAAATCCAGACACTGAAAGGTTAACACTGAGGACAGCAGGAGGTCGGACTGTGACTGGTCAGTGCCCACTGCCCCTTCTGGTTGTTAAATATCTGGACTCTGGGCCACAGTGTCCACAAGAATTTATGTGTGTTTCACGTATGTTTCTGTATGTGCGCGTGTGTGTGCGCATGTGCACGCGTGTGTGTGTATGAGAGAGAGAAAGCCTTGTCAATAGGCCCCGGGCCCACCTGGACCTGTGCAGGAGACCGCAGCCCCTTAGGTCTGGGTTTGATGGCCCTCAAGGGGACCAGGCACTGTCCTGTTTTCAGCGAGAAACCTCAGGCCCACGGCTGCAGCGGGGAAGCTAGCTGGCTAGGGGCCTACTTCTATAGCGGAGGGGCTTCCGGCTCCCTGCACGGCCCCCTGCCCGCCGTCTGCGAGCGCGGCCCTCTCACCACCGCCCTGGGTGTGAGGAAGGCAGGGCGGGACTTCCACAAGGAGGGGTGCTCGTGGCCCCAGGCCCCCTACGTGACCCAGAAGGTGCCACGCTCCTCCAGGAGGCTGACAGAGCGGTTGGTGAGGGTGGCGGCATCCTTTGCCAATTTGTAGCCAAAGAGGCGCATGGCGGGACCGCAGGCGGCCTGCACCACCTGCGCCAGCTTGAAGGGCATGCCGAAGCGCCACTTCTCGAACTGCTCCGAGGAGTTCTTCTGTGTGGAGTAGATGCCGCTGCTGTCCCGGGCCGCCTGGGTGTTCTTCTGGATCCAGTCTTCCACCTGCGGCGTCAGGGGGATGCCTGCAAAGCGGTACATCTCCCGGGCCTTCTGCAGGGGCCTGCGGGCCACGTCCTCGTAGCGCACCAGCATGTAGCGGCCGCGCAGCCAGGCCGGCTGCCTCAGGCCCAGCTCCGCCGACAGGCGGATGCTCTCGCAGTTGCCCCGCAGCCGCTGCACCTCCTCCTCTCTCACCTGGTCCTGGCCCTCGGCCAGCCACTTCTTCCAGGTCTCGTACTTGCCGGCGAAGGCCACCATGCGGGAGGCCAGCACGGCCCGGGGGTCGCGCACCAGCTGGATGACGCGCAGGTCCAGCCGGGGGTCTTCGGCCAGCGGCTGCAGGAACTCCAGCTGCCGGATGCGGACGGCCTTGAGCGCCATGTGCTCCTTGCGGCGGCAGGCCTCGGCGGCCAGCGTCACGTTGAGGGGGCCGCAGCGGCGGTTCTTGCAGTGGTACTTCTCAAAGACCTTCTTGACAAAGGGCGTGCACACGGGGTCCTCGCAGAGCGAGCGGCTGGAGCCCCGGCGGAACATGTACTGGGTCAGGTGGTCCTCGGGCAGCGGGCTGATGAAATGCTCCAGGACGTACAGGTCGCACAGGAAGAGCTGCTTGAGCACGTCGCGGTAGACCAGGGCCGAGCCCGCCGCGTTGGCGCCTCCCGGCTCGAAGGACACCGTGCGCTCGATGTGCCACAGCGGCTCGAAGAGGTAGAAGATGTTGCCCTGCTGGTTGAAGAACTCGCCCACGAACGAGGAGCCGGTGCGCGTGGTGGCCATGAGGAGCACGTGGCGCCGGGGCTGGGCCCGGGCGGGTTGGGGTGGCTCCTCCTCCCCCTCCCCGGGCTCCACCCCCAGCTGCAGACTGAGGTTTCGCAGGCGGCTCCGCAGCTGCGTGAAGGCTGAATCAAGCTCACTCAGGGACAAGAGGGATGCGTTCTCGGCCAAGACCAGGGCCGGGTCCGTGCTGTTGGCATCCACCAGGGATTGGGGGATCTGCTTCAGCTTGTCCGAGACCCTGTGAGGACAAAGGGAGAGCAGGGTCAGCGACTGACTGGGGACTCCAGCCCCTGTGCAGCCCTAAGCAGCCTCCCAGGCTGACCACCCACAGCCTGTCTTAGTTGGGTTTCCCCAGAAGCAGACTTTGAGGAAAGGATCTGAGTGTAGGTAGTTGATTTGGCAGACAATCACAGGAAGGGGTAGGTAGCGAGGCAGAGAGGAATGGAGGTCCATACAGGGTGAGCAGGCTATCCCTGTGGGCAAATCGATCTGACTGGGGAACCCTGGGAGGCAGTGTAGAACAAGCCTCAGGATTCTCTCACCCAAGGGGTGTGAAGCTCCCAGCTGGCCGTGGCTGAGGGCTGCTCCCAGAGGCATTTACTTACTCCCGGCTAGCCAGTGTGCATGTGCAGAGAACGCTCTCAGGCTGAGCGTTGCAGGAACCTGCAGTAGGACTGGAAGAGTCCATGCTGAGGAACTCAGGCAGGGCACTGACACAGCGCCTGCTACACAGCCCAGTTCCTAACCTACTCATCTTGGTTGATGCTTTCTCCAGACATTTATGTGTCTAGCAGGTCTACTGGCAGGGCCACTGCGCACAGCAGTACACTACCAACTCTAGGGTGCAGCATTCCCGGTGTAGCCTGTGTGAGTGCATACCCCGGGCGTGGAGCAATACACAACCTGGGCAGCTGCACATGGCAGCCCTGCCCACGAGAGTATCTGTACCAGGACCCTAACTTTCCAGGGGCTCACTCTCATCCCTGACTTCGGGTTGGTATAGGGGATGGGCTGTTAATGCAAGGCATCATCCTAGGCCGGGGAGTTAATTAATAATAACCACAGCCAGCAAGTACTGGACACCAACTATGTGCCAGGCACTGGGCTAAATTCTTTTATATTTTCTCATTTAATCTTTACAACAAGACAGGCCCATCATTAGCCACATTTTACAGAAGAGGAACTTAAGACAGAAAAGTGAAGTAATTTGTTAAAGCTGTCACAGCTAGAAAGGGCCAGAATCAGGATTCCGACTCAGGTTGCCTGAGTCCAGAGCCCAGGTCTCACCACTGTGCAGCCCTGAGGACGTGTGTGGGACCTCTGCCTGGGCACAGGAGGGGCCTGAGGATTACTGGTTGAAGGGCTGCCTGTGTAGGCCCACAGGGAGGCCTACAGCTGCCTCTCCGCCCCCACCTGCAGCCCTCACCTCGATATGATTTTATTTTCCTTTTCAATGAAGACAAAAACCACCACCACAAAAACCAGGAAAAGGGCATATTTGCTTCTCATCCTCAGGCTGTGCAGAAAGTCCCGGCAGTCCTGGGGCAAAGCAAGTCCTTTCTCCATGGGGTAGGCTGGGGCCGTGGGCGCTCAGCTCAGGGGCATCACTCGGGGCCTGGCTTGTTGTCTTCAGGTGGGGGACACCCTCGTCCTGTGGAGAGACAGGCGGTCAGGACACCCTTGTCTGGAGATAAGAACGAACGGGAGCTTTTCCACCAGACTTTTGAGGATCCTGGCCCTGCTTAGCAGCCAGAACCCCAGAGCCACTCTCCCAGTGGACTATGCCCCAGGGAGACTTGAAATCAGGTCATTTAAAATGCTAATGACCCCTCTGATTCATCCATGCCGCCTCCATCAATTTATCCTTGGACCTCACACCATGACTCAAAGGCACGTATATGGAAAAGAATGTTCCTTGAGTATAAATGTTTGCAATAGCAAAAGACTGCAAACACGTAAATAAAAAATGATCCATGCAATGGGTTATTATGCAGACACAAAGAATAATGAGATGGATGGACAAATGTTGATGTGAATAATCTATTATACATATATAGTAATTATATGTATACATATAAAAGCAAGCTACAGACACAATGTGTTTATATAGGACAGGGTTTCTTAACCTTAGCACTTTTGACATTTTGGGGCAGATAACTCTTTGTTGGGGGGCTGTCCTGTGCATTGTAGGATGTTTAACAGCATCCTTGGCCTCTACTCATTAGATGCCAGTAGCATCCCCTCTGCTCAGATGTGACAATCAAAAATGTCTCCAGACATTGTCAAATGTCCCCTGGGCGAGGGGGAGGTGCTAAATCACCCAGGTGGAGAACCTCTGATGTGGTATGATCCCATTTGAAAAAAATTTTTTTTAAGTGAGAGAAAAATATAGATGCTGGATAAAAATGGACTATGACTGCAGGGCCACACAAGGCCTTGTAACAAAGGGACAGGGAGGTGGGGAGAGAAAAGTGGGGTGAGTCTTCTGTTTGCTGTGTAACACTGTGCACTGTTAGAAATTTTATCATGTGGATGTGGAAATTTTTAAAAATTAGCCAAAGGAAAAACCCACCAGAGCACACGAATTCTACCAAAATCCTTCACGTGGCCTCGGTCTTCAGTCTCAGCTTCCTGGGGCAGCCTCCCCGGGGATAGGTTAGGGCTCCCCCAGCCCCACCACCGCACAAAGACTCCCATGAGCACCTGAGACTTCGTCATAAAGCGACCCCACTTGTAATGACTTGTTCAGTGCTGCTCATCCCTTCATGGGGAACTGGGAGTTTGTCTGGGCCCCTCACTGTCCCTTAGCACTGGGCCAGGCACACAGGAGACACTCATGCACGGTTGCTAAACCACAGAATGGATAAAAGAATAAATGACCCTCAATGGAAGGTGTGTATATTTTTCAAAACCAGAGCAAATACAGCATTGTCCAGTGGAGCATCTCTCATTTGTCCTCACCGTCACACATGCACTTGTCTGTACCGCGAGCCCCCGGTTCCAGCACAACCCCCACTTCTGCAAGTCTCTCCCTTTCTCCATGAGGACCCTCGTCCACAGGAGACAATCTGCTCCAAGTCTGAAAAAATCTTATTGTGACCTTGTGTAGGGCAACCAGGACCATGTCTCTCTGGAAAAAAACGGATTTTCCCAAGGGAAGCAGCTGGTGTTGAGGGCAGGGAGGGCAGGAAGGAAGGTCCCAGGGCTGCAACTTTGTCACAAAATAGAAGTGGCTTCAGGGACAGCCAGAAAATCTGTCCTTAGGGGAAAGCAGTGGGGCGAGGGTTCTGCATGTGAGGAGGCAGCTGTGTACCCCAGCAGCTGAGTGGAGGTTCCCAGCTGTGCAGGGCAGAGGGGTGGTGGTGCGGCAGGCAGCTCTCCCTGACGGGGCACTGGGGGTGCTTCCTGAGTGTGGGTGGGTGGAGAAGGGCCCAGTGGGGAAGAGGCTGCAAGGCCAGCTCCAGAGTAACTGGAATATTCCTGCCTCTTCCTAATCCTTCTGGGCCTTTACCCCACGCACTTCTTAAACAAATATTTTCTGAGTCCCTATTATGTGCCAGCCTCTGGTCTAGGCACTGGGGATACAGCAGGGAACAAGCAGGCACGGTCCGTGCGCTCATGGGGCTTACACTCTGGTTGGAAGGGCCAGCTGGAATATTATGGGTAGCTGAATTTTATTAAGTGCTCACTACTCTGTGCCAGGTGCCATGCTAAGTACTCGATTTGCATTTCCTCATCAAATCCTCACAAACGCCCTATTAAGTAGCAACCGTCCCATTCTACAGAGGAGGAACCTGAGGTTGAAGTTAAGTAACTTGCCCAAGGTTCCTCCAGCAGCGGCCCTGACTGCCCCTTCCAGGTCCAGGTCATTTGAGCCTCTCAGTGCTTCCCAGTGACCCCCACATAGAGTAGGGCTTTCCAGACAGTCTGTCTGTCTCCCTTTCCCAGACTGCCAGATCCCTGAAGTCGAGACTGTCATCTAGAACAGCACCTGGCACATACCAGCAGTCCCACAAATCACTGGTGAGTGAACCGGTCAAAGCTGGTGCCAGGCAGGCTGTCGGCACGAGTTTGCAGAATGATGGGCAGGGCCATGTTCCCCATGCACCCCATTTAGCCCATGGTGGGGTGTGAGGCCACCTGTCCCACTGGGAGGGTGAGACCCAACACTGACTCTGCAGAGCACAGGGGGTTGAAATCCTGACTTTCTGCCCTCCCGGCTCTCAGCTGAGAGTTGCCTGGGTCTGATGGTGTGAGGGAAGCAGACGAGCTGCGACCAGAAGTCCTGGGTTCTAGTCCTTCCTGTCTAGTCCTTACCATGCTGTGTAACCTGGTATAAGTGACTTAACCTCTCTGGACCTCAGTTTCTTCACCTGTAGCATGAAAAGGGTGGTACCTACTGCATAAGTTTGCTGTGAGGAACAGGATCTGGTGCACGGTAAGTGTTCATTAAATACGAGAGGAGAGAAAGGCAGGGTGGTGAGGGGTAGATGCCCTCACTGTCCTCTCCCTTCTGGGTCTAACATCTTGGGTGAGATTTAGAAGTTTGGTTGCCTCGAAGACAAAGCTCCTGAGCCTTCTCCTCCCCTCGCTTCCAGGCACTGTTTCTATTCTAGAGCTGCCATCCCAGCCCCCTCACCCCCCAAATAATACAGGGTTCCCGAGAACCTTCCTGGCATTGCCCTAAAAGGAAGAAGCGAGGGTGAAAACTTTCTCCAACATGAAACGTGAGGCAGTCTGCTGGTCCTTTGCTCTGCCCAGGCAGGCTGCCCCTAGGTTTAGCTTTGGAAGCCCAGTGGGTGGGTGGGCAGGCAGGAGAGAGAGGTTTAGAGTTCCCAGGGAAATACAGGAGGTCCCCAGAGTCAAGAGGTAAGAAAGGGTCACAGGTGCCAGAAGGTCACAGGATCAGGAGGGAGGAGGACAGGGCTGGAATGAGGTCACCCAGCAAAGCTCCAGGCAGAACCTGCCCTGCAGAGGGCCCTCTGCAAGAAGTGGGTCTGTGACATCTGTGACACTGGACAAACCTTTGCACTACTTCCCTCCCAAAACCTGTGGTGCACGGGCTAGTCCTGCCTCCCTTGCTTAGCTCACAGGAAGAATGAAAAATCTCTTCCTTCTCTTGGCGGATGCCGCCTCCCAGGGGAGTATTCAATATCTTTCCTCCTCCAACACCCAGCAATGATGTGACAGCCAAAGGAAAAGGTGGCGTCCGCATTTCCAGGGCGCCAGGGCCAACGGTGAAGAAGGCCAGGGGCAGGTGCCCAGCCAGCTCTGCCTGGATGCAGGGAGCGGGGACAGCTGCCCTCGGCCCAGTTATACCCAGTGCTCAGCTCAAATGTCCCCCCCTCTGGAGTCCTTCCCTGACCACCGACCTAACGTTGACCATCTCCCCTCCCCCCATCACTTCCCCTCTCTGCCTCCTGCTTTATTTCCTTCCTAGATGGAAATCTACTTGTTTCCTGCTTCTTTCAGCCACTGGAATGTCAGCTCCATGAGAAGAGAGCCTGTCTGTCGGCTCCACCTCTGTAGTCGTGTCCTGTTCTGCGGGATCTGAGCACAGAGTAGGTGCTCCATAAGACTTGCTGAATGAATGGATGACAGCCTTTTCCAAAAGCATGTAGCCCAGTGTGAGATGCTTAATCATTCTAAGTTGATGGGCAATATGAAGAGGAAGAAGAAAAAGCAGCTGTTCCCTCTGTGAGTGAATCATGTGTGTGCACTGTGAGCATGTACTATGAGCAGATACTATAAGTGTGTGCTAGGAACTCATACTAGGAGCATGTGCTATGGATGTGTGCTATGAGTGTGTACTACAGGCATATACTGTGAGTGTGTGCTATGAGTATATGGCCTGAGTGTGCACTATCAGCAAGTGCTGAGTGTGTACTATGGAGATATTCTATAGGCATGTATGTGAGTGTGTACTATGGAAGTATATTATCGGCATGCATGACGAGTGTGTACTATGGAGGTATACTATGGGCATGTACGTGAGTGTGAACTATGGAGGTATACTACAGGCATGTACATGAGTATGTACTATGGAGGTATGCTACGGGTGTGTACATGAGTGTGTACTATGGAGGTATACTATGGGCATGTCTGTGAGTGTGTACCATGGAGGTGTACTACGGGCATGTACATGAGTGTGTACTATGGAGGTATACTGTGGGCATGTACGTGAGTGAGTACTATGGAGGTACACTACAGGCACATCCATGAGTGTGTACCATGGAGGTGCACTACGGGCACGTATATGAGTATGTGCTATGGAGGTATACTGTAGGCGTGTACGTGAGTGTGTACCATGGAGGTATACTGCAGGCACGTGTGTAAGTGTGTACCATGGAGGTGTACTACGGGCATGTACGTGAGTATGTACTGTGGAGGTATACTGCAGGCATGTATGTGAGTGTGTACCATGGAGGTG